CGCCCTGACAACAAGACCAAGTTGCGACAACGAGGTCAACCCACTTCTATAAATCGAAATGAGACTGCGATTATTCCAGAGGCCACACCATCTTGATCTTCCTATGACAATTCAATGTTTGCTCAACCCCGTTTTCGCAGCTTGATCAGGGTAACATGAAGACCTTGTGGGAAGTATCTAATCCTGGGTCATCTACAATAGCAATAATAATGATTTCCAGAATCGGATCGTTGGTTTGTTACGAGCTGAGAATGTACCATGTATACGATCTGATGCTGGAAGTCCTCATGAATGCTATTTCAGACGACGTAGGATTATGTATGCTCCACAAGGTTTCTCTGTTTTGCTGACCAAGTCAAGCCAACATTATACAGCTAAAGGAGACTGAGATCAAACAAAAAACTACACTAATTTGGTTTTCATATCTACGACAATTTATTGCTTGTCATTATGCAAGAATGAGTTAAAAGATCATAGTTTAGGGAATTCCACGCTTTCCCACACACGCTTGTTCAGAAAGTTATATTGAGGCAATTGTAGCTAGGGCTCGAGAGGCTTTTATATGGCGAATGATTTCTTCAAATTATTCAATGTACAAGTTAATGAAGTCATGAATTTCATTTAAATGATATTGTAATAAGCGTTACTTCTCGCAAATTCACCATTATAATATATCGTATACATAATTTTAATTCACTTCTTTCAGAAACTTTATCATCTGTATCAATATGATTCAAGAAATCAACATCATTTTGTTCCCGTAAGGTGTTTGCATTCTTGGTTTGCTAACCCACTTTTTCCGCATTAACTTTGCCAATAATGGTCTGGGCGGTAAACGTTTCCTCCTTGCGTCTGTATCCCATCTTTATTGTCAAAAAGAGCAAACCACATTGTTTAACTTGTTTCCTTAAACAGGGTGCACTGACAACTCAACCATCAAAGTTGCTTTATTTTCCTTATTTACAAAAGGCACATCATTTGAGGCAAATCATAAATTCATCTTTTTATAAAATAGCAGAAGATTTTTCCTAGCCTAAGTCATAAGTCGGTTTTGGTGTCACTGGCCCAGTGACAGACACACAATTTCAGTCGGCGAGAATCAGCAATTGAAGTTTTCGGATGAGATAAAATTTGTGAGAATGATAGGAATTATGCCCATGTCGAAGCGAAAAGTAGACCTGTTTTTGCTCCTATATTGTCCTGTTGCATGTATTCATGAAAAGCCATTATCTTCCTACTAGGAGGAAAATTTGTACCTCTTATGAGTAGTTCATTAACTATCCTAACTGAAAGTGAACCTTGGAATCAAATCACCCTTGGCCACTCGATAAATCAGATTTTTAAGGCACAACTAGCTTCCTCAGATCATGTTTCAACTGAAGATTTCTGTTTATTTATGTCGCTCAGCATTTGACTACATGTTTTTCAACGGCAGGATAGAGTTTAATTGTAGAGCTACTCGCTAATTGCTTGAAATTTGAGCACTATTTAATCAGGCCTTAAAGAGCAGTTCCTTGGGGTAGTCTTCAAATGCGTCCTTCTGAAGCGGCAAGACAAGCCTGGAAGATGTCAATGTAATGACGTTTCCTCCCCATTTATTTGCTTTTACCCTCTGCAACTTTATTATCTTAAATAGCCTATACATTATCTTTGATCTACATTTTTGATAGACTGTATTGGGCTTAGACAAACGATAAACAAGCGACGCAATAGTATTTGCGACTTTACGCTCAATTACTACGATCATAGTCATCTTGTCTCACCATATGTGTCATATTTATTTGCATACTACACTTTATCTTTCACAGAGCCAGTTTTACTCCTCGATCGTCACGACTATCTAAGTCATCAGTATCACAATCATCCACGTCATATTTACGATCCAGTTCACTACCGTTTAACGATGAGCTGCTATCAGCGGAATACTTGAAATCGCAGGGACACTTCAATTATGCCTATTTTACTAAAATATTTTCTCATTAAATCATAATAAAGTCGCTCCAATTAACTTATTTCTTCTGTTCTTTCGTCCTATAATCTCTTATTCAGCCACAACCTTCGTGAGACGTTACCAACTTACTCGGCTATCCACTGGGCCTCCCGAGAGTCAATCAGCCACAGAGCATCAGATGAATGAAACATCATCGCAAGCTGAGCAGGAGACCCTTTTGTTTGATGAGTGCCTACCCTGTAACCCCACATGCGAGGCAGTTGGTTGCACTGGACCAGGTCCAGAAGCCTGTAGAGTCTGCAGATATGCCAGGATAGTCCCGGATCCGAATCAGCCAGATGTAAACAACTTGTGATATGTTTGCTATTTTTTTATAATTAGAATATTCTAGGCTACCAGATAATCTAAAATAAGAGCGTGGTCATCTCAGGTCATTTAAAGTGATTTATGGATTGATATAAGAGACGTATCCACCTGATTTCATTTTTTTATGCTATGAAAGACTGGTAGGTGAATTGGTCAGCAATAATATGAGTAGACCCCACGATTCCATTAAATTTCACATAGCCTTGCTTTCCAAAAGGCATGCTCATACAGAATTCACGGCAATTTCAACCTCGCGGTGGGACTCGAACTAGGGTTGCGGTAGTGCAGCGTATAGTCCCGATACGTTGTACATTCCGCCACACTATCACGAGTTTCCTTGATTCACAGAGCAGAAGAGAATATCAAGGAAGCCTAGGCTTTTCTTATATCCGATTTAGTTTGGAATTACGCTTTCGAGAGTACCAGTAGATCATCTATATAAGACCTACTTATAAACTACTTATAAAATCGAAATAAAAAAATTCGTAGATTTCTATAGCGAATGCAAATTGGCTTCATCGGTAGATTATATGTTTGGTCTTGCTTGAAACTCGTGGCACTGTGGTGTAGCAGTCGAGACAACATCCTATAGTCTTCTGGTCCGAGTCCCGCTAGTGGTGCTAATGAGACTCATGAGAGGTCAGAACTACAGTTCAGACTACTCTGGATAAGAATGCCTTTTAAGCAGTGAGGTTATGCTTAGTTCAATGGAATCGTAAGGCCTAATTATGGGGGAATTGTGGGGAAATTCAGCTACCAGACTTTCATCAGCTTAACCGAAAAAGGGTGAATAGTGCCCATATTTAAACGAATTGAAAATCCCACTAGATTCAAAGTATCAAATTAGCTTTCCAATTAGCAATATCCACAATTATCAGATTTAGCTTGACTCTCTTTTTGGCGCTGTTCTATATTCACACAAAATAAAGTCTTACAGTCCTTCAAATTTCTACAAATAGCCTTTATTTCCTCATCTACATTTGAACTTATTTTCATAAAAATTGTGCTCATCCTAGGTCTGATAGGTTGATAGAGGACTAATAATGGAATTTACTTTGCCTAACGATGCTAAGGTGTCCTCATCAGGAGGGAACTAAGCTGTAGTTTCAGTCTCGCTTGGGTCTCATCAGCACTCAAAGTGGAATCGAACTCGAATTGTGATATTTCAGCATTTAATTTATACATGTTACCAATACTCGACACTGCTACGTGAAGTCTAGGAATCACAGGTCTCTCCCATTTTACACTTTGTAGTAGGTTTGTCGATAAAGCAAATTTATATTTTATATTGCAATCGACAGTGTTACCTACATTAAAAATAAGTAGATCTAGAATAAGTGTCTATTAAGAGAAATGGGGTTTCGAAAGATAGCCTAGTGATGTGTTGTGGCATGACTTTGCACTTCGAATGTGAGTTAACTTGAAGGAATTCGTAAATTCGTTTCTCCTAAAACCGCCTTAAAATGGAGAATGTTGAAAGTCGCAGGACGGCGAGCCAAAGACTTATTGACGCAATCCTTCTTGTTCTTCCAGTGAGCACAATCGACGATTCTCCTCGTCGATAGTTCCTGCTTAATAGCTTTACTCATAGTTGTGGGAAAAGTCAACTATCGCCCTTTATCAGTCTCTTCCATATCTACCGGCACTTATGAAACCTACTTACTTTGAATGTATTTATCTTCACTTTGTCTGCAATCAATTTGCATTTAAGACCACATCTTGGCTTTTATTCACATACTCGTATCTGTCCACTACTTATTTTATGTACTACTACCCAACTTGACCTTCCTTCCCGCCCCTTTTACAGCGCTTCTCCTGTGTTTCCGAGTGCCCGGTTGAGGCCCCGTTTCCCGTCATTGTCGTGGAGACCTCTTCCGCCTCATCATCATCATCATCATCATCATCATACGAGCCCATTTCGAAACTTGACCCTACCGGAGCCCATTCGGGCATCTACCTACTCTGCGCACACTTACCGGCCGATCTCTTAGCTGCCCAGTCGTCGGCGTGGAATCGGACGACTCGAGAGCCAGTTCGGCTTTATGATCTGCCCAGCTGGGCAGGACCGGGTAAAGGTCGAACAGGACATCAAGCGCCCAACGACAGCTGGGGCGCTGTTCTCAGGCCTGAGTCTTCACGGGTGGTTTCCATGTTATTGGCTTTACTATACAATCCAGTTATCCGCTCACTTCACAATGCGGTTTTCAGAGCCTCCTCTTCTAGGCCAAGAAGGCGGCCATCGCGAAGGTCGCCTTCTTATCAGATTCCCAATTCTAAATGGCACCCTCAGTCGGCTTGTTGCCAACTGGTTGTTGTTGTGTTGTTGTTGTTATTCTTGTTAGGACGATGTCGGCTTCGGCTACGCAAAAATTGACCATTTTGGAGATTCATGAAGACCGGCACGAGGCAGCCTTAAAAAATCTCTAACAATGAAGCAATTGGTACCAGTTTCGCCAGAGTAGAAATTGATCGCAAAAGTGTAGAAAACATTTGTATGGCATAGCTATTTCTATTGGGAAATTGCGGCTCAAAGGAGACGTTTCCCCCACCAGCTCAGAAGGGTCGTCTCGAGAAGCATGCTAAGGGCATCCTTTAAATTATCAACCACATATTCACATGATTATATAGTATGTGGATTCCTATGGGACAATCTCCCATAATTATCGAGGAGTGTTTTTGTATAGCGGTAACAGGTCTCATTTTGTATGGAATTTTGAGTTGGAGGGATACATACGAGGGTTTTCCTTTGAGTTTAGACTGTTTACTTTGCAAATACTTGCCCTGATATCCCGATGAATCTATGACCCTTGTGGAGCAGACATTTCCAGGGCGAGAAAGTATTCTTTAATAAGTATGTATATTCGTAGAATTCTCTTGGTATATCAGTTTCGACTTGACTTTCGGCTCGATTTTAACGAGTGTGCTGCAAAGATTTGTTGAACAGGCTGATGCAAAATGTATCATGTGTCAGATTTTATGTTGGAATGACCGCTCAGTCAATTCACCAGAAACTGATGCAACATAATAATGCTTGAAACGGTTGTTGGATCCAAAGATCCGAAGTGGCCGATCACAGAGGGAAACTATATAGTAACTGGAATGGCCTCAGAATCTTCAAGTGGTGAATAAAGGTATGGCTGTTGCAAAACTTAACATCACAAAGGTTATTAAAATTCATATATTAGAAAGGGATATAAAAAAATCAAGAGTATACTATATGAGGTGTACTCACCCTATTTCGTTTAAGGTGATGAAGCAATGGTAGTCGAATTTTACCACAATGATATGAGTATAACTAAGGTTTCCATTCAACTTTGCTTTCCCAAAAGTTGTTCGCATCCAAGCATCAATGGACTGCAGTTTTTACCTCGCCTCGGTCTTATCAACAGCCACAGCGGGAGTCGAACCGTGACAGTGCAGAATGTGAGCTTGATACGTTAACACCTCGACCACATTGCCAAGAGTACCCTTGGGTCACAGGGCAGATGTTAATTTCGAGGAAGGCCAGGCTTTTTCCCATATCACATTCATTGGGTGAGTACGTCTCATATTAGTGATTTACTGGTAGTCTCGAAACTCTACTTACATACGAAAAATAAGTAACGTAGTCGATTGTTCTAGCAATAATACGTTTGCTTCATTCACAATCCAACCAAAGAATGTGATATGGGAAAAGGCCTAGCCTTCCTCGAAATTCATATCTGCCCTGTGATTCAGGGGTACTCCTAGCAATGTGTCTTAGTGATTGACGTGTCATGCTCACATTCTGCCCGGTCACGGTTCGACTCCCTCCGGGGGTGTTGATAAGACCGAGGCAGTCTATTGGTGCTTGGATGTGAACAACTTTTGGGAAAGCAAGGCTATGTGAAATTCGTATTAGAGTAGGGTTTCGAGACTACCAGTAAATCAGCGTAATGAGATCCATTCACCCCATTTCGTCAG